CAAGGGAGCTCTCCTGGTCCAGGACCAAGTCACCATTAAGCTGCTGGATGCTCTGCTAATTTCATGGAAGGAGAGTTGGGGACCCTTTGGAGCTATCACAGCAATAAATTCAGAAAAATCCATGGAGGTTTTTCATCCTTGAAAAGACAGAAGTTTTCTGGGAGTATTTGTCCCTGAAGGCTCCCGAAAGCAAGAGGACAGACGGGGTCACCCATTCTGCTCCCATATGGCTGAGTCGGCAGCTTGCCCAGACCGGCACCGTTACCAGGGCATCTTTTCAGCCCTTGCAGGAGATCTTATCTGAAATCTTAATTGAGGCACATTTCGGTTATCCAAGGCCGTTTTTACACTGCTCAAGCTCAAGTCATTGAAATGTTTTAATTAACGAGCAAACACAGTCTGTCGTGTCCCTCTGTGTGACGCACAGAAATCTGTCTGCTTCCTCCCCGAGTACAGTACAGCATGTCTAAGCCACTGGCTACTATAATTACGATGGGATAAACATTTATACGGCACTATAAAGGTGAACCGGGTGCTTTGCAAACAATACAAAAGTGCCAACCTCATTCCTGAAGAACTCAGGGTGAAGAAAAGCCATGAGGGAATTGTCCCGAGGGAAAAACTGCACCCTGCAGAGACTGAGCGCCGCTGGAGCAGCAGGTCTGAGCTCTGCAGAGGGATGCTTGTGGGACTGGATGAACCACCACTGAATGACTCACTGGCACTCAGAAATGCTGCGATCCCTTGTCTAGTCTGCCATGGACCTTATAGATGAGCTTTAGGAATCACTCAATCGATCCGTGCATCCCCACCTGTAAAATTGACATTATCTTGCTGTGCATACACGTGGCTACCAAAATGGAGTCCATCTGCAGAGGGGAGGGTAGGAGGGGAAGAGGGAGTGCTGGGAGGCACATGGGAAACAGGAGACGGGAGCAGGGAAAATGAGAGAGAAATACCAAAGAGACAGAGCTCCTTGTGCTCAAGGAGGCAGGGAGCCAAGGAAAAGATTAAGAAACAAGATGGTCTCTGAAAACATGGGGGAGAAGAGTGTAGACCAAGAGCCTTTTGGGTAGGCTGAAAGGAGCACAAAAGAGCCTGGAGAGTAACCAGGAGCAAGTCAGAGCATCTGGAGCAAGCGACGGCCGAAGTGCAGAGAAGAACCATGGTCATGGTGATGGGAAAGCAAGCGCCGCTTCTGGAACCAGATACGGAGACAAACTGCAAACTTCAGACTAGACCTTTAAAAAAAAACAGGGAAGTACCATTCCATGAGGTTTCTTAAAAAGCACCTTTTAAGTTTGTGCACCCCTTTTGCTCTGTGCACAGCAGATGCTTACGCAGACCTGGTGCACACAGAAACTCGGGATGTGTCCTGAGCCTGCCCTGCGGCCACGCACACCCCAAGGGCTTGGCCTTGCCGAGAACGGGAGGACATGTGGAGTTGTCCGTGGTTATGTGAGAGGGGGAAACGCGGGCAGGAGCAATTGGACAGGCGGATTTCATTAGGCTGAAGGCAGCACAAAGGAGCAGGGAGAGTAACTGCAAGGAAATGGCAGTACCTGCAGCAAGAGGTGCCCGGGGCACGGAGGAAACTTGTAGCCATGGAGATAGAAAAGCCAGGGCAGCCGAGGTGTTTTTCATGCTGTCATGAGACGTGGCTCTAAAGCAATTTGCTGTGATTCGTGTGTCCCTCTTCACTTTGATTCACATTACAACAGTATCATTATTTATGTGTTTATGATATTCCAAGATTTATGGAAGGCCTTGCCCATTTAAGCTACGGAGTCAGGTAATTGGAGATTGCCATTATAATCGAATTCTGTGTTTTATTTAATTATTTGCAAATCACTTATTATCCACCCTGCAGCTTTAGTGAGTGATGATGAATAAAAATCACCCCTGATATTCAAAGGCTCTTTTTTTTCCTTTAATCTCTAGCACAGACACTGGATGCAAAGGTAACAAACCACAGAGACTGGAAGAAAACATCTAAAGATTGAAGCTGTGTCCAGAAATGTGATGGAGCTCTTTAGATTAGCAAGTGAGTATTCCCGAAGGGAGCTAAAAACAGTGGCTAGCGTGGGAAGAAAGTTCAAAATAGATGTAGGTTGAAAGACTGTGTGGAAGACCAGGAGACAAGCGGTGATAATGATAGTCATCAGATGGGAACATGTGGTTGTGAAGCATTTTTAGAGTGAAAAGTGTTTCAATTTGGACAGTGTTTTCATATTTACATTATTCTGTGATGATACTCCAGCACAGCATTATGGACTGTTTGGGCCTTTTTGTATTCTCTTATGCACTCGGGGTGAGGGGCACCCAGAATTTCTTCAGGGGCTGTAACCAGAACCTGATTTCCATGAAACTTTTAGCTGTAAGATGACAGTTTGACCCATGTGGATGGCAAGCCCCGACCTGCCAGGCTACAGCAACAGTCACCCCATCCTTCCATCCTGGTTTTGGTTATACTAACTGATCTGTAGGAGTCAAGCCAAGTTATTCTATTCATTCAAGTCACTCACCTCATACGCAATAGCAAATACCTCTTTTCAGCTTTCCAGTGTCCTTCTTTGCTGATAAAGATATGTAAGGACATGCAAAGCACACAAGGTCTCGGCTCCCGAGTACACAGAGGTGTGACTGCAGCTTTTCTTCTACTCAGTATCCTTCTCTGTCCCTGAACAAAATATGTGAGGTTTCTTGACTGGAGCTTCTTGTTCTGCCTCAAGATGCCCTGTCAAGTTGCTTGTTATTTTCTTATTCGGCATATTCAGAATATATAACTATACACAGCTCAATCTCTCTTAAAGTTTTCCTTTTGTGCTTTAAGTTGGCCTGTCCTTTTTCTCACTGCGTATTACTGATGTCAGGCTGTGGTCTGTCTAGTTCTCTTCCTCTGCACTGTGCATATGTCTTTTTCTTATCCCTGATTGTACTTCCTTGCCCATCTGTACTACTATTTTTATTGTCTTTGAACACACATTAATAGTACTTTCAAACACATGTCAGCATCCATTTTTCTGTCCCATCTATTTCTTTACTTTGTTCCGTGTCCAGTTTTCGTTCAGAATTTAATCAGTTGAAATTCTCTGTTGGTTTTTTTTTCCTCTTTTGAGCTGATTTAGTCATAATAACAAGGCTTACAGGGAACGATCCAAATCTTGCTGAAAGATCTGCTCCAAAGCTCATTACCATGGTCTCTATTTTTTGATAATCTTCCAACTTCCTTGCTTTTACAGACTGCAGGAGATCCAATAACATCTTAGAATGGGGATGGTTTCCTTTGAGTCCCTCGTCTATTCTAAAATGTGTAGTATGCTGGGAAACCCAAATATGTCCAAATTATATCTAGTCTGACACTTTCTTATACTATGTCCTTTTCTGAAGCCTTTTTCCTTGTGTTACTTTTGAGAAGACAGCCTATTAAAAGTGCTAAATTCCGACTCAGTTCTACCCTTTTGCTGGGAGAGAACCATTTCTGCGTCTAAGCTGAGATGGTCACAGCCTATCTACCTTTCTGTGCCAGGGATACTGGACTGACAGTCCTCTCTGTTGAAAATCTTTGTTAACACATTTATTCTCTCTGGCAATTCCTCCAGCATCATTTTAGGACCAGGAGTCTCCCTGTGTGTTTCTAAGATGTGGACACCCTGAAGCTTTCTGAAATGGTCTGGCCCTTTGTGCTGAGGAGGGTTAGGAAGAGCTGTGCTAAAATGCCTGTGACTCGGTTTAGCCTGCGAGCAAACGGACGGGGGTTCCTGAACAACCCCAGGTTGCCCCCCTTGCCGTGCCAGCTCCGTCTGCTTGGCATTTTGCCAGCAATGTCCCCACCGACAAACTCCTCCTGGTCTCCCCGAGGAGACGCCCAATGTTTGGGAGGGTGACATGCAAGCAGGTAACTAACTGAAAGTACCCATTCCTAGGCAAGTTTTGTTCACAGCTATTCAGAGCTTCCTTGGAGTAGATGACAGTCTCTGTCACATGAGTCATCTTGGTCTCTTCTCACGGGGTCTCGCAGCAAAAAATCTCACATTTCTCCTGTGCATGACAGCAATGAGCTGTTCAATGGATAAAGCACGTGCCATTTTGTGCTGATATAATAACTTATTTCCGTATTCCCTCCAAATGTGTTCACGTACATCACTACAGTATGAGATAAAACAGCCAGGGGATACACTGTGACTTCTCTCCAGAGCCAGGGTAATTGTTTAAGATTCTTGCTTTACAATTTATATTTCTCTGCCTACAAAGCTGAGGTAGCTCAGTTTAATCTCAGCTAAACCAGACACCATTTCTTTGCTTCATGGACTTCAGGCTTCCTATTAACCTGCCATATCACAGGAAATAGGAGATCTCTTCCCCTACAATCAACTGCTGGTGACAGAACAACAGCACAACACAAAATTCAGGTTAATACTTGAACCATATTGAAAATGCCCTTTCCTTGCTAAGCTCACTTGACAATTTGTGTAGTTTATTACAAAGATAGTAAAATAAATTCCGTAGTAACCAACAGTTTTAAAACTGATAAATCAGTCAAAATGCAAATTTGACGGATATTTTCTGAAATGGTATTTTTTAGTGGGTAGAGCTACACAGGATTTAATATCAGGCGTTCTAAACAGGGGCAGTAACCTGTCAGAGAAATGAGCACAGCTTTAATTTAAATTAATGCTAAATGCGACCGCCAGGTTTTAGGGCATCAATAGGAAATAATGAGAGCTCACAGAGGAAGTTATTTATCCAGCAGTTTCGTAGACCTTCCACACATGGGACTCGTTCCCCTTTCCTTACAGACAGGGAACATGAGGTGCTGAAGTTAAGTGTTGTGCTGAGTGTCCCCACGTGTGACACTGAACGGAGGAAAGGGTGACTCTGCCACCATCAGCCCCACAGGCCTGGCTGCTGCTCCCTCCCGCAGGCAGCGGCCTGCAAATCTGCTGGGGCCTTGCCTGCCAAAGCCTTGGGCGCCGCGTGGCCTGGCACCCTTCGCTCACCCGTGTCGGGGTGCCCATCGCGTGGCCTTGGGCGCCGCGTGGCCTGACGCCCTTCGCTCACCCGTGTTGGGGTGCCCGTCGCGTGGCCTTGGGCATCGCATGACCTGGCGCCCTTCCCTCACCCGTGTTGGGGTGCCCATCGCGTGGCCTTGGGTGCCGCGTGGCCTGACGCCCTTCACTCATCCATGTCGGAGTGCCCATCGCGTGGCCTTGGGCGCCGCGTGGCCTGGCACCCTTTGCTCACCCGTGTTGAGGTGCCCGTCGCGTGGCCTTGGGCACCGCATGACCTGGCGCCCTTCCCTCACCCGTGTCGGGGTGGCGCCCACCCGTGTCAGGGCGCCCGTTGGGGCAGCGGGGCGCCTCCCGGGCTGGACCCTCGGCTCGTGCCGCCAGTGGTCCCCGTGCAGCCCTGCTGCCCCAGCACATCCTGCGCCCAGGCTCCTGCCTTGGTGCTAAGGGCTCCGTGCACTCCCTCGTGCCTCCTTCTCCAGAGGGCTCTCCAAAGAGAGGAAAAGTGCATTTGTTCCCTCTGGAAAGTGGTCCTTCACAGTACCCTCATTTTCCTCGGTTCTTCGCTTCCCAATGCAGGCACTTTATGTAGCCACCTCCCCAGCTCCAAACCCCCTCGCTTCCTGCCCAAGCTAAGGGTTGGACTGTGCTCCTGCTCCTCCCGCGCCGTTCCTTCCTCTCTGGAAGGTGAATCATTCCGGGCGTCTGTGGTAGAAGGGCAGAGCTGGGTCAGGGATGCCGTTATGCTGGGAGATGCCGACAGCTACTTGGCCTCTGATGAGCAGAGTCGCAGACTAGGCTGGTGGCTTCTGTGGGCCCTCATCGGCACTTCATGTGTCCTCCGTACTCCCTTTCACATTTTCTCCAGGATCAGAGGATTGCTGCCCCTAAAAATGCCCCAAAATAGGTCCTGCTTATGTTCCTGCTGGAGTCAATGATTGACAAGAGTGTGGAGCTGCAGTACAGAGTACATAGGAGCATGCTTTTCCAACATTTTTGATATTCTGAGTAAAGACTGTAAATGCAGCCTGAGTCTCCAAAATGTCTTTCCCATTACAGTGAGCCTGGGTTCATGTTTCATCTGCAAAGTGGAGTCAATTGCCAAGACAGATTTGTCCTATTTCGTCCACTTTGTGCTGAAGTTAAAGGTATTTCTAAAGCATCAACTCTTACATTTTCTACGCCTTTGTCATCAAAACAGGAAATCATGATGGATCTCATAGAAATAGCCCTGGTTCAGAAAGTACACCTAATGCACAGATACCTTCCTAATCCACAGATAGAATTCAGTTAGTATTTATGTTTTCACTCATCCAGTTACTGGACCATTGAGCCTGACTTTGGCTGCCAGGAATGTCAGTTTACGTCACTGTTAACGTGTTGCCTTCCCACTCCTGGGTTAGGTTTCCTGCACTCTGCTAGAGAACGAAGACTCACAACTCCTGCTTTTAACTGGTTTTGCATTGGAGATTTGGAAAGAATAACTCTTCCCAGAATAGGTATGTTTAATATCAGGATGTTTCATTTCTTCTTTCCTTGCACATCATCTATTTTGTATCACAGTGACTTGTTCTAGACATGTTCTTGTAGTGAAGGATGTCACTGTCTGCAAAATGATCTGTGTGTGTGTGTGTGCATGCTCACACACAAGTACCCTCACAGACTCAAAAGCTTTCTATATATGTGTTTGTTTTTCCTCTTTGGAAAAGGCAGAGAATTAGGGGTTATGAGTGATATTCTTGCTTTACCTTTCTGTTCTCCAGTTTTCTGAATGGGTTCAAAGCAGTTTATTGGCTTCTAATGCTGTATAAAGAAAAAGTTAATCCACCCACATCACAATTATTTGGTTGCTAGGAGTATTTTTAGCAGCACGATTTGGTAATTGCTTCCAAATATAATAGTTTAGAAAGAGTCACACTGTGGCCCAGCTAATGGTGTACGGGGAGGGGACAGAGCTACTCATGGCAGCAGATTTGAGGGCAGGGAAGCGAGCGAGTTGCACGGAGATCCGGCTTCCCTCGCTATCCAGCACCCAGCCCTCAGGCAAGACAAGAGGTGAACGCTGGAATCATCACAGATCCTGCAGAGCCACCCCTTTGATCCCATGGATAAAAGCACTGCCCCTTTCTTGTGGGGGATCAGTGTCTCCTGGTGCAGTCTGTGAAGGGACTTGCTCATGCAGGAGAGCAGTTTTGTTCTCTCCGTGCACATCTTTCCTTCTGGCAGCATCTCGCTGTGTAGGACATTGCTGGGAGGAAAGGCTTCAATGATGCACAACAATCTCCACACACACACCCAGATCAGATCATGTTTTACCAGAGAAGCTGAATAGCATTCCTTTAATTGTTGAGGAAGATGGTTCCTAACAGTTTGGGCTTCTCAAGGTTAGAAGTGGAAACAGTTTGAGAGGCTGCTACTCTGTGGTGGACCAGCCCAATCCGGGTACCGAGAGAGCAGATTCCACCTCTCTTGTGCCTGTGACTCTGCTGCCCAGATCCAGACCCAGCTGTTCTGTGGAAAACACGTGGAAAGCAGAAAGTGCATCTGGCAGCAGCAAAAAAACCAGCTGAGCCTCATTTCCAGATGGACTGGTATGCAAAAGGAAAACAAAGAGACTGAAAGGAGAAAAATAAAAGATCTGTTTTACTTAGATTTAATAATGTAGACAACAGCCATGTCTTAAGAAAGGACACGTTAGCACACAGTAGGAATTTTTTCAGTGCCGTTCCTTTAAGCCTGAACTTTATTGGGAAAAGGTCTCAAGCCATTGAGCAATCCTCAGTTTGGGCAACCATGTTGCTATGCTTCATCAGTTAAGTATAGCAGTAATTCGGAAAATGAAGCCCCGCCGCATCTGTCACATCATTTAAAAATTACTTCAGTTTTGCAGGTATTTGAAGATTGCAAAACGAACCACTTTACCTTGCAACAGCCTGTCAGCATTGGAATCCGCTCTGAACCTAATGGGTTTCTTTAGCTCCCTAGAGTTGGATATTTCCTTCCTCCTCCCCCTACAACAAATTCCAGGCAATGACACTATTGAAATTCTGACAGTAATTTATATACAGTAAGTGGCTGACCTCAGATGAGACGCTGAACAATTCCTGTGCACCAGGCTGCATTTTTCTCATGAAATACAGCAGTTTATTTGCCGTCACTTACCATTAATCCCCCACTCTTCCCAAACTGGCGTCATTTATAAGCTCTACTGACGGTTTGCAGGATGGAAATCAAAGGGGAAAAAAAGATGATAAGCAAGCTTAGAGAAATAACCTTAGGTAGATGAATAGCATTACTCACAGAAATAGTCCCCTTGGCTTTGAAGAAGCAGTAAATATAGCTCCCATCCTAGAAAGAGTTATGCACAGGCTTCTCTTTACACGGGCTCGCAGGGCTGCCCAAGGCAGGGACTAGTCACGTGCTTGGAGTCCCCGGCGTTCGCAGGGCTGACATTTCCCCTCGCACGGAGCGGTTTGTGCAGCGGCGCGGGCAGGCCTTCCTCCTCGCAGCTCTGCCATGTGCCTGCGAGAACCGCCCGAGTTTCACTTCGGGGCTCTGCCACGTTACGAGTGTGAGGGAACACACAACGTATTTACTTTCTTATTGCTCTTGATTCTTGTTAATATTCCCTGCTTGTTGCTAGCGTGTCACTGAGGGGCCAGAAGCAACCGCCTTCCCAGCCCGAAGCGCTGCTGTGTGATGAAGGGAGCCATCTCCGGTCGATGATCAGTCTTTCTTAGGGACCAAAGGGAGCTCTGATAACAAAATGCTCCCGCCTCCATGGACAGCGGGCTCAGATCCAGGCTGCTCCCTCCGGAACGCTGTCCAACGCCAGCTTGGCTCCAGGCTCCCTTCCGAGCGCGGGAGCTCCCTGCCGCCCGCCCCAGCACCTCGCGCGCTGCCCTGGGGGTCCTCATGGCGACAGAAACAAATGCCTGCAAGAATGAAAAAAAAAAAAAAAAAAAAAAAAAAACAACTCTCTTCCCACCACCCCAGGAAAAAAAAAAAGCGCCCAAATAGGCATGATTTAGAACTAAACTTAAATATCTATCTATATATAGTGGAAAAGTGGCAGGAATCTGTGAGGAATAATGTTGATGGATAACTTCGATAACTTTCATTTTAAAGCTCTCCGTTAAAATAAGCCGGGGCTGGGGGTCCCGCTAACCTTAACCCCCCCTTTCCCGCCC